TCGAGAGAATTACGTGAGATAACAAAAAAGAAATCATGGTTTAGGATAATGAGCTCGTTTACGATAGACGTAAATACCCATACCGGCGACGGGCAGCAGTGTCGAAGGTGCGAGACATCCGGTATTACGATCTACCAGCCGCCTGCTTTACGAGTATGACAAATCTATATCGAGAGACGTCCATGTTGATGATGAAAAAGAAAATACTTTACTTAATAACAAACAACAAATCAATAGTTTTAAAACATTAAATTTATTTTAGTTTTCACATTTAATTTCCCTCTAAAATGACTAGGGTACCATAACAAATTTGGAAACTAAATTACGGACTCTCAATTGTTTTTGTGGATAAACAAAAATTGTTTTGTACATCGCCGAGCATGTTGTAAATCAGTACTTGAAATTTTAATTAACAATATCATTCTTGTCTGCAGGAATCGAAGGCGGGTTGCTCACATACAATGAAAATTACAGCGTGCGTTTTGCGTCTGAGCTACTACGGCTCTTAACTAATTGATACTTAGCTTCTGATTTTACTACGCTTCTGAAATCTCAAATACTCGTATAAAATAAATCAAAACGTCTATGATATTATACAAGTTTGAACTACACTAAACTTTTTACAAATTATCAATTTGTTAACATCATTTCTTACGTAATATTTTTACAAAATTAGTTTTATTCAGAATTAAGTTCCTAGAAAACTTATTATTACCTTGTTTTATTACGTTACTTAATTTAACAAATAAACCTTAATGTTTGAATTTACTTTATATCGCACATTAACGTAAGTTTCAAAAATTGTAGAGAAGAATATATCGTAAAAAGGGTCTCCCGATATTGTCCCTTAACGTAAGAAACACGGCATTATGCTGCTATTTTACTCCGTTATTATTTTAATTTGAACGCTCAATTGCGTATTCGGTAACTTCATTGACATATATATGATAACTTATTTGTAGTATATACGATATAATATAAAATGACCGTATTTTAATTTTAGCAAAGGAACTAAATATGCATTTAAGTGAAGTCAACCCATAAAACCTCGGTGGTTATCGATAATACACAAACAAAATGCTCCACTACGTCCCATAGTAATCCAGATTAATTCACTAACTTATAAGCTGGCAAAACACTTGGCAAAAATACACCACTGAGAGGGAATTGGTATTCCCTCTCGGAGCACGCACAAAGGATTCATTCCATTTTGCTTATTAGATAAAAGATCTACATCTCGCTAACAATGAAACTATGGTCAGTTTTGATGTTCAGTCACCATTCATATGTCTACCTATTGAAAACTGCATCTCAATTATAACTAGGATTTAGGAGGATAGCAACATACCTGCAGAAAATGCAGTATTACTCAATAACTGCCGCACATCTGGCTATATTTTGTGGAAGGAAGAGTTCTACAAGCAAGTAGATGGTGTGGCGATGGGTTCACCTGTATATACTATAGTCGCCGACATTTTACATACTGTACTATGTGGAGAAAGTCCTTCTTACTGCTCCTGTAAATCCAAGATTAATCAAACGGTACGTAGACGACACTTTCACAATATTACCACCTAAAAAAGTAACCGCATTTTTAGACCACCTCAACTCTATAAACACAAAAATACAATTCACAATGAAGTTGAAAACAAATAATTCTATAGCTTTTCTAGATAGGTTTAAAGAATTTATTCTCACAAAAAGATTACATAATCCACTTACATGAGAACAATAATATAAACTTAATCTAGGTAACGGTCACCGTATTCACAGTTCCATCGTGACACTCTCCGAAATTACAAGTCAGTAGCTTTCAAGAATGTAGTTGTGCAATTGAGACTTGAACTTGTTAAAGGAATCTATATTTTTAATATGAGAAGGTAGGCTGTTATAAAAGTGTGCTCCCTCAAAGGTAATATTTTTTTTCCCTAATTTGGTACGTGTCTTTGGCAATACGAGCAAGCTAGGTCGACGAAGACTGCGTTTGGATATTTGTGACTTTTTGGTAAAGGACAAACTAGTTTGGATGTTTTTACTCATGATCTTCCTAATTAGAATGCAAGTGCTATATACATATATAAAGTTGTCGAATGTTCATTATTTTTGTGTCATCAAAAATTTTACGAGTCGATGTTAAGTATGGGTAGGAGAAAAGTATTTTTATTGCTTTATTTTGAGCTCTTTGTAGTTCCTGCAATTTCGTTTTGGCGGCACTGCCCCATATTTCTATTAAATATAATATATGAGATTTGATAAGTGAATTATAAATATTGAAACGTAGTTTCCTAGGTATACATTGATTTATGTTACAGAGTGAACCCGTTAGCGACGATAATTTGCTTTTTATATATTCTATCTGTTTGTTCCATGTTAAATTACTATCCATTCTCAGACCAAGATATTTTTACAAGTTTTTTTGTTCGAGTGGAATGTTGTCAATTGTTAAAGGAGCATGCGGGGGAATTATTTTATTTTTCGACTTGTAGATAATATAGCATGTTTTTAAGATGTTGATTGTTAACAGGTTGGACTGAAACCATTCAAACAACATGTTAAGGTCTTCTTGAGCTTTTGAGATGATTTCGTCCATATTTGTACCGAAATAGAATAGTCATGTATCGTCCGCGTACAAAGTTAAATGGCCGTGTAGTCTTAAATTCGTTATATTGTTAACATAGATAAGGAAAAGAAGCGGTCCCAATATGGACCCTTGTGGGACACCATATGTAATGGGTTGGGTATTGCTTTGGTTATTATCTATTTTGACTATCTGTACTCTATTTGTTAGGTACGACTCAAACATTTTAAGGGCACTACCTGTGATACCAATGTGCTCTAACTTTTTTAAAAGTAACTGGTGACTTACGGTATCAAAGGCTTTTTTCAGGTCGATGTAAATGCCTAGAACAATCCTTTTCTTATCCAGGTTTTCTTTAATTTTTGTTGTTAAATCTACTATTGCCGCAGTTGTATTGCTTTTTGACCGAAAACCGTACTGACGTGGAGATATAAAGTTAAATGAATCCAGGTAACTTGATAATCGGTTATGTATTACTTTTTCTAGGATTTTCGACAATATTGGTAGTACAGAAATAGGACGATAGTTTCCTGGGTCAGTTGTGGGCCCGGATTTGTAAATTGGTGTTACTTTTGCAACCTTCAAAGTATCGGGAAATTCGCCGTCAGTCATAAGTTTGTTTATTGAATGTGCCAGGCCTTCAGAGATTAGATCTTGTAAACATTTTAGGACTTTTGTGCTGATTTTGTCTATTCCACTACTAGTATTGGGATTTAGGTTGTGAATAATTTTATTTATTTCATTTGCATTACATGGGGTAAAGGCAGACAGTTTATGATCGTTTATTTTTTGTTGTATGAAATCAGGATTCAAAGTACTATCGTGATATTTGTTAGGTATTTTGTTTGCTAATAGAGAACCTATAGTAGAAAAATATTTGTTAAAAAATATCACAAACTTCATCTGTGTCGCTAATTAGTTCCGAGTCTATTAAGAGCTTTGGAGGAGCACTACTTTGTTTTGTTTTGTTATTTGCTAGGTTATTTATAAGAGCCCACATCTTTTTAGGATTATTAGTATATTTAGTAAATAGTTTATAGTAGTAGGAATTTTTCGTATTTTGTATCAGTTTAGCTATTGTGTCTCTTTTTTTGCTTGTATTCTTGTTCTAGTCTCTTGTCATCCTGATTTTTTTTGTGTTGCAACCATAGGTAGTTCCTTTGGGTAATCCCAGTGATTATATCACTGTTGATCCAGTCATTTTTAGGCGGGTTCAGTGTTTTCGTTTTCACTACTCGATTACGTGCTACGCATTGCTTTATTTTATTTTCAAGATATTCGTAAGTGTCTGCAGTGGCTTCCGTTTCATATGATTCCATTTCAGTATACATTCTTTTGTAATCTATTGCCTCATAAGTCGTTCTTAAATTCTTGTGTGGTTCATATTTATTCAATTGCAGGAAGATCTGTTTGTGGTCTGTCATGGACGAGTTAATAATAACAAAATTGAATTGTTCACATTGAAGATTTGTGCTGACATGGTCTATGATAGATTTCTTTGTCTCTGACTCTCTAGTACAATATTTTTTGTGAATTTTATTTAATAACTTGTGGCCTGATTCTCTTATTGTATGTTTGTACTTAGTTGAAGTTTTGTCATTCGTAAGTAGGTCTATGTTGAAATCTCCGAATATAATTGATCTCTTTTGTTGTAGCAATTGTGCACCATATATTTTTAAAAACTTTTCAACATTGGTATGTCCGGGTTTGTATACCACGCCAATATTGATTCCGAATTTTTCTAGGTGTATCCATAAGAAGTTGTTTCCTTCTAGATACGTCGATTCTATAGAGTGATGTTTCAAGTTGTTGTGTATGTACGCTGATACTCCTCCACCTATGATATCGTTCCTGTAGTTATAATAATGAGTGTAGTTATCGATCTGTAATTGTCGGGCTTGTTCTTCATTTCGTATCCAGGTTTCTGTTACTAATATTACGTGTATAGGTGTTGGTGTCGATTTTAGAATACATTTAAGTTCGTCTAACTTTCCTTTTTTTCTGATACTTCTTGCATTTAGGTAGAGAAATGAAACACCTGATTTTCTTGTCTGTATGAGTCTGTAGTCACTTACAATTTGATATAATATATCAGAATTCTTTGTATGCCTTATTGGCCGTTGGAGTTTTTTGAGACAGATTTAACGATGTTTGGTATGCCATTTATGTATCTTATCGTAATATCATCTTCTCCGTTATTTTTGCGTCTTGTAAGTTCATTCTTTATGGTTAGAAAGTGCTTTTGTTGAGCAGGAGTTTGGTCAGAGAAAATTTTGATGTTAGATGGTAATTTGGCTTTGTTACGTAGTAGTACCATTGCAGGCTCTGGTTTGTCAAAACAGACTTTAATTCTACGAGTCTTTTCAGGTTTGTATTTGCCAATACGAAAAATTTTAATCGGCTTGGGAATGTCTTTGCTTACCACGGCTGTTATGTTTAAAACCTCAGCTTCGTCTTTTGCAACCCTCTCCTCAGTACTGGTAGCAGTCTGTTCTGATATGCCAACTATAATAATATTTTTTTCTCTCTTTTTTCTCTCTTTAATTTCCTGAATTATTTCTTCATATTTCCTCAACTGATTCGGCTCTGATGAATCAATGGTAGTGGTGGTAGATGTCTTGAGACTACCTTCAAGACAAGTGAGCCTGTCTTCGTGCGTAGAAAATTTGCTATTTAAATCTGTTATACATCCTTTGATGTTGTCCTGGTCTTTTACTATCCCCGAAGTCGAGGATTTGATATCTTTGATCTCTTCGTTCAATGTTTTTATATTTTCACGCATATCGGTCATTAATTTCTCCTGTGATATAACGAACTTTTCTAATAGATTATTCATACGCGATACCTCACTGCGTAGTCCTTGTATCTCAGCTTTGCAGTCACAGTCGTGGTCCATTTTTTTTCTTTTACGGATACTAACATTACTTTCTTCTTCCGTCCTTCTGGACAAGTCTGGTTGTGAGTTGTATTTTGATTCATTGCCATTTGGTGATCGAATCATGTTGTATCAGTTTATAAATAAGTCGATATAATAGAAATGCAAAACGATATTTTTATTTACAAATGCGCAAGCGCTCTGTTCAATAATTGTCTAGTCACTTATGCACCACACAATCACTGTTTCACTTACACTTAAGCGTAGTATCGTCCGTGCGACACGGAGTAACCGAGTAACCGAGTGGTCACTGCTTTTGTTCGGAAATAACCAGACAAACGAGACACTGAGCGCCCGGGTTGAGCGCCATACGCCAGGGGTCTTGACGGTTGGTTTTCCGGTATGGAAGCGTCTAGCGACCGTAGACACGGAGGTCTGTGTTAAGCGCCGTAAGACAGGGGTCTTGGTTACTGGTTTTGCAAGAGGATTCGCGTAGAAACGTGTGAATACGATGGCGACCTGCGCCGGACTCCATAGATGTTTCATTCATCCGAAATCCTGATAAAACTATTGGTCACACTGTGTATAGGAAAAAGACCCATACCAACCGACATTCATACGATGAATCTCCCCACTATCCTTCACAGTTAGCTACCATAGAAAAATCTCTGTTTCCGAGAGCACAAGGGATGTGACAGAAAACACCTGGCCGCCGTGCTTCAGACGTCAAATAAGTATTGAAAGACAATCAGCTTCGGGTCCAGTGCGTGCAATCTGGATTGTGAATGTGGTCTTTCGTACATAGGACAAAAGAAAAGATCTTGTTGGCGACGCGTCTATAAGAATATTTCATTTTATTAGTTAACCGATTACGAACAGCTTCTAAAAACAAATTATCGAGCAATAATATTCTAATAAGAAAACACTTAGTTGAATCTTAAAGAAATATCGAATTAATAATTTGAAGGTCTTGGGTTCGATTTCCAGGCCGGACTAGTTTGCCGTTTTCTTAGTAATATTTTCTTAATAAATTCATATAGGGAATTTTTAAGATATAAATTATGTTTCCGGGTTCAGTTCCCCGGTTGAAATCACCTTTCCAATAATATTGTTAATTTAAAGGAATATTAAAATAAAGTAAGAGACCAGGTTTTGTTCCCCGGTCGAAATGATCACTTTGTGAATAAATAGAATTAATGGAAATTAATTGCATAAGTATTGTTGCATGAATAAGTCAACTAGCGCCATCTAGTGTCAGGAACGAGAGCGAGGGGAGCATTGAGAAAATGACATCACAAATCGCTCAACTGACAGCGCCTAGTCGAAACTCGAACGCTCGGTACCTTGCCCGTGTTTACTTGAACATTCTGGATATTTCTTTGCTAATTCAAATATATAGGCGCTGCAAGATGCGATCGAGGTAGTGTTGATTTGGGCGAAACAAGCGAAGCTTCGGAGTGGAATTAAGTGAATTAGTGTGTTTAAATTATTAGTGTTTTAACTTTAATTGTGTAAAGTAAATTAAAGTGTTAATTTAGGTAATTTTATCGGCAATTTTTATTGTCACGAACCTCAAGCTCGTAACAATTGGTGTCAGAAGTGGGATAAAATCATGCCGATTTTACCTAAGGAGGAAACGGAGGGTGTCCGTACCCGAAATCAACGCCAGCAGGAGACGGACCAAAGAAGATTTGGTGGTGCAACGCCGCTGACGTCGGAGGGCCAGCCGCCGGCTGCAGGCCCGTCAGTAGCTCCTCCATCTGCAGCACCCGATTTAGGTGCTCTGATGGTGATGCTGCAGGAACAGGCTCGCCGACAGGAGGAACAGGCTCGCCGACAGGAGGAACAGGCTCGCCGACAGGAGGAACAGGCCCGTTGGTTGAAAGAGCAGCAGGAGGAACAGGCCCGCCGACAGGAAGAGCAGATGCTCCTCGTGAAGGACATTCACGCTAACTTCGGGAAAGAGATTAGGGAGGTAAAGGATAGGGTTGCTCAACATGACAACCGCCTGTCGGAAGCTGAAACCCAAATCAAGGAAGCTAAAACCCAAATCGACCAAGTAAACAATCGGGTTGATTACGTGATGGCTGACGTGAAGAAAATGCTGGACGACCTCAAACTGGGGGATGGAACTACAGCTCCCGTAGTAGCTATTACACCTTCGCTACGTGGGTTCAAGGTGCCACCATTCGACGGGACTTCTTCCTGGTCAGCCTACAAAATCCAGTTCGAGGCTGTTATGAAGGCGAACGGCTGGAATAAAAGTCAGGCCATGACTGCTCTCACACTAGGCCTGCGCGACCAGGCCTTAACAGTTCTGGAAGCTCTCGGTGAGGAAGTGACTTATGAGCAACTCCTTGAGGCATTGGAGGCGAGATATGGCGACGCTCACCTGGAACACGTCTTTCGTGCGCAGCTTAAAGATCGTGTGCAGCGCATCAACGAAAACCTGCAGCAGTGGGCTCTAGAAGTGGAGAAGCTGGTGCGAAAAGCATACCGGTCTGTACCTGCGCTCATTGAAGGGAACCTGGTGCAGACATTCATCGACGGCATCCGCGACCTGGAAGTCAGAGCTGCTGTGAGGCTCGGGCACCACGAGACGCTTAAGGACGCCTTGGCCCATGCACTGGAAGTGGAAGCCGTGCGGCAGGATCATCGTTCCCATCGCGTCAGGGAGGTTGCAGCAGCTACAGTTCGCGACCGCAACAAAGGATACAGCCCAAGGTGCTATGGCTGTGGGGAAAAGGGCCATCTTCGATCCAGCTGCCCTAAGCGAACCCTAGAAAGGGAAATTGAACGATCTCAGGAGGGTAGTGCGGCCAACAGCACCGCCCAGCAGCGGCAGGGAAACGAGTAAAAGCCAGAACTGCGGGGCGGGTGCTGGCTGATGTTAAAAGAGCCCCAAGGATCTCGATCTCACAAACCCATGATGGGAACAGCCTAATCATAAAGGGCGAGATCAACGGAATGCCGTGTAAGCTGACCATAGACACTGGAGCCTCTCGTACGGTTGTTAGTTCCCAACTTATAAGTCAGTTCCTTGGGGACTCCGCATACAACCGAGAACGCCTTAATTTGGTAACAGCCACCGGTCAGCGTATACCCGTCCGTGGAGAGAAGGAGATGGAGTTGAAGCTAGGCAACGTGATCTACCTGCATAATGTCATCGTGGCTGATATAATGGACGACTGCATCTTAGGCCTAGACTTTATGAGGAATAATTGTTGTGAGATCGACGTTAAGCAAGGTGTTTTGAAATGTGGACAGGAGGAACTTTTTATGGAAGGTGCGTTACCAGGGAACGTGTACAGCATCAAGAAGATTGTTCTTCCGCCGAGATCGGAAACGATTGTTCCGGTTAGTCTACCTCGAAACGCTGGGCAAGCTCACCGTTGTGTACTTGTGGAAAGGGTAAACAATGACCTTCCATGGAAAGTAGCTCGAACCTTGGTCAGGACCACTGACATCTCAGGAGTACGTGTGCTGAACCTTTGCGACCGGGAACAGATTATAGAAAAAGGCACACTGGTTGGTACTTGTGAGGAAGTGGATTGGTTACGTCAGTGCCAATATATATCGAGTGGGACCCCCAGCAAGGATTCAGAAACGAGAGTGACCACACTTTTGGAAGACTGTCGCAGTGTTCTGTCCCCGAACGAATTGGTCAAGGCGAAGAAGTTGTTACTCAAGTACGCCGATGTATTCTCATCAAATGATGCTGACATAGGAAAGACTGGCCTAGTTCAACACAAAATAAACACAGGAGAGGAATTGCCTATCCGTCAGCGGCCAAGAAGATTGCCGGTAGCACGTGAAAAGGAAGTGGAAACCATGATTGAAGGAATGGTGAAGGATGGTGTTATTGAACCTTCCTCTAGTCCATGGTGTTCACCAGTGGTGCTGGTGAAAAAGAAGGATGGCAGCATGCGGTTCTGTGTTGATTACCGCCGTCTGAACGACGTTACAAAGAAGGACAGCTATCCCTTGCCAAGAATTGATGACACGCTGGACATGCTTACAGGAGTAAAATGGTTTAGCACGCTGGATCTAAAAAGTGGCTACTGGCAAGTTGAAATTGACCCTAAGGACAAGGAGAAAACTGCGTTCTCGACGGGAAAGGGTCTGTGGCAATTCAAAGTAATGCCGTTTGGGTTGTGCAATGCTCCAGCAACGTTTGAAAGGCTGATGGAACTTGTACTTACCGGGCTAATTGGCGATGCCTGTCTGGTCTACTTGGATGACATCATCATCGTGGGCCGTACGTTTGAGGAACACCTTCAAAACCTGGAACGCGTGCTCATGAAGATTCAGAGTGCCAACCTCAAGTTGAGCCCGAAGAAATGTTCACTATTTCAACGGCAAGTTAACTTTTTGGGGTTTGTAGTATCGGAAGAAGGTATCCGCACAGATCCAGAGAAAATCGCCGCTGTCAAGGATTGGCCGGTTCCAAAAGACAAGACGCAGGTTAGAGCATTTTTGGGTTTGTGCTCCTATTACCGGCGATTCGTGAAGAACTTTGCAGATATAGCCAAACCTCTGCACAAGCTAACCGAGGAGAAGCGACAGTTCTGCTGGGATGAAAGTTGCAATATCGCATTCCAGGAGCTCAAGGACCGTCTGTGCAAAACACCTATTTTGGGATACCCTGATGCAAGCAAAGAATTTATAGTTGACACAGACGCAAGTGATATAGGACTCGGCGGTGTGTTGTCTCAACGGAATGGTGACCAAGAGGTCGTGATAGCGTACTTCAGCAAGTCGTTGTCAAAACCGGAAAGGAACTACTGTGTCACAAGACGCGAATTGCTAGCTGTGGTAAAGTCGTTGCAACATTTTAGCAAATATCTTCTGGGACGAAAATTTCACTTACGAACTGACCATGCTGCACTAAAATGGCTATTGCAGTTTAAAAGCCCAGAAGGACAAGTTGCGAGGTGGATTGAACTACTGCAGGAATACGACTTTGAGATCGAACATCGCAGCGGGAAATCTCATGGCAACGCAGATGCATTGTCAAGAAGACCTTGTCCTGAAGATTGCAAACATTGTACTAGGCAAGAGAGTAAGGAAGTGGTATCCGTGAGGATGCTCAGGGCAGACCACCTCAGCAACGAGTGGAAGGACAG